GAAGTTCATCCTGAGTTGTCCTTGAGCACCTCTCCAGTCACGGTGTTTCTTCTCTTGAAAGCATTCCTGTAGCTGTGAGCAATGCTACAGTAGAATAATGCATAAGGCGCTTAGCATCTGGCATATTTCCGCTGTCTCACGTTTTGCTCAAGCACACCTGGAGCCACGCGGGGTGCGTTCTTGGTAGGTACAAGACAGCCAGTTTTTTTGGAAGGGGTGCTACATATCGCAATTTCTTAGCACTTTTTAGTTTTATTCATTATGAGATGTTCTACTGCGCAGATGAAGCCTCTCTTGTCTTATGCGGTCTTGATGACCGGACGAAGAACCGTGATATCTCTCCTATGTCGCTGTGTCGTGTTTCATCGTCCGAGTGTCCGGTGTCCCTCCATCGTTTGAGTCACTCCCTGTGACCAGCCATCACCGGTACCTCGGCCGATCGTCCCCTGTGCCGAGACATTGAACCATGGCTATCTATCCACCATAAATCTCCGAGCGGACACGCAGGCATTTCAACAGAGTGCGCTAATGTCTGGCGATTTTGGGCAGGGCAGATAGTAGGCGGTACCAGAGATAGGTTGGACTGCGGCCGGTCCAGCAGCTGGGAATCTCGGCGCCGGATTGACATCTTGAGAATAGCTGAAGTAGCTGTGGTTGAATTGATAGTTGATCTAATGCCATGATACGTGAGAAGATGAATCAGGGGACGAATAAAGGACTGAGGATGCCTCGCATACTTGCGGATATGCCACAAAGCCTTTAGCCGATACAGAGCTCCGGAAAAATAAAAGAAACAGCATTAGTTAAAGGACTACTCGCATGTCATTATCAGGTTCACCGGACTTTGTCCGAGCCATCGAGGAACATTGAGCCGCTGGCTTTTTCAAATCTATTTCAAAGTCTTTCGTCTAACAAGTAAACCACAATACTATTCCCTCCATTTGAACTCAGCACTTGGAAATGCACCGAAAAAATGACGTACCTGGAGAATCAGGAGTAGCTCAGACAAGTGCACTGCTTTTGACGCTCCTGCCATAAGCCAAGAACGCATGAAAATAATGTGGACTTCTTCCGCGTCGCGACTTGCCAGCAAAAGACACGGCTCGCGGGACGATTCGGCATTGTGGCGACATCAGATCATTTTACCTAATTGCGGAAGGCCGGCGGAAGTTGGTAGAGCGCCTTGGTCCTTGGAACCCACCACCACGACCGCAACCCCGTCGACGCCAACCTGCCCTGTGCGCCGTGCTCGAGAATGGTACTCGCGAGCACC